GTACAAAATGATGTAAAAATAAACTGTTATAAAAAAAATTAAAAAAATGTGCAAGAAGATGTATAGATTTGGAAATTATAACTTTTTTCATTTTGGAAACTGCAAAATTAAATATATTGGCTCAGTGTAAAAAAATATATATTAGTCACAAGAAAAAGATTTCAGCCAAAGTTAAGATTTTGCTAGACTCCCAACCTGTAATACCAGGAGTAGCCAAAATGGCACTTGACTTGATCAAGTATCTGAGTTCCTTGTCAATGTCTAGGGCAATGGAAACCAAAGCTGAGATCTCCTAGGAGGTGCCCATGGTGCCAGAGGACTTTATCCCCGGTATACTAGCAGCATCAGAAAACAGGCAGTCCACTAATAAAATAATTCGGAACACTTCTCTAGCACGCCTGGACCTCTGGAGTAAGTGATGAAAAAAGGCAAGATTTATATACCAAGATGATGTGTGTACACGAAAAGATCCCATTTTCTCCATCTATAAAACAGTAATGCACTATCTGGGAGCCTGTGGTGATGATTAATGAGATAATATCTGAAAGGGCTGAGCATATGTTAGCTTCCTTTGTCCTCACTGCCACCATTCCATGGGAGAGAAGCAGAGAAAGAAGAGGTATAAAGCATATTTAGGTCCCTGAAAGGTGAAGGCCTTTGACAAAGTACAGTCCAGGGAGCAAGGAGGCAAGTATAACCTGGGCAAGGAGACTCCTGCTTTTTCCAAGTCCTTTGAGGGTTGGGAACACAACCATACATCTCTCTGCCAGTAATGAGAATGGTAGAGGAGGTAGCAGTTGGGGTTGATATAGATAGGAGCAGACCTCTTGGAAGATCCTGACATGGCAACAAAGTCTTGGATTTAATGAACAAGGGACTCTGTAATTTAGTGTTTGCACATTACACTATAATATGAAATACACATTTTTTTGAATTTACAGAATGCTAATTGCCTGGCGTTATTTTGGTACAAAATAGCATTGTTAAAAACAAATTTTGCATTATACAATTTTTAAAAAAAATCCCTGGAAGAGGCCTCCCTGGTGGTCTAGGATTAAGTCTCGGTCTGGGATTAAGTCTCAGCGTTAACACCAATATGACTTGAGACCCTCAGCCACGGAGCTGACCCACATGACACAGCAGACCTCTCCTGTCTTGCCCGCTGCTCTACTTAGTAGTTTATTTCAGTAAATTCACCCTTTTCTGCTCCCTACTATGTCTCTGGTGAATCCTCTCACCCCCTCCACTGCTGGCCTACACCCTAGATTTTCTACACAAAATAAAAAATTTTTAAAAACCCCTGAAAAAATTATCAACACACTGATAAACTTACATCACTACCACACAATGGGAGATTAAATACAAAATGGCTTTTTGCCATTCTAGAAACTATGCTACTTTCCCCAGATACTAAGTTATATAATTAATGCAACTCTAATTTGTTTTAATATAGCTGATTAAAAAAATACCCCAGAGAATGTAAAATTCTATAATTTGTTGCATTTGGAAGACTGAGAGTAATTTGGTTAACTGGCTAGAAGAGGAAGAACATACAGGGACTGACCCTGAGTGATGAGGCTAGAAAGGAAGCAGAACTCAGGGAAAGATGTCAATGAACTTAATTTAAAAATGAGGTGGAACTGGCACTCGTGATGCAGCGGGTTAAAGCACAACACTAAAAAGCTAAAGCCACTTCCACATGAGTTCGATTCCCGCCTGCCCTGGAGAAGACCACATG